CAGTCAGTCCTGGTAAAATCAAATTGGAGGATCATTTAGTACGTATCGTAAGGTACACTTGATTCAATTTCAACTTAGTCAACATTTCTACGAGGCAAGAAATGGTATCGAGGAACCTGTGATCCAGTTGAAGCATAACCCGCGATTTATCCCCTCCAAGGTTCTAGAGGCAAGGATTTTGGGGGTCCAGCATTTAGTTTAATGTAAACTAGGATATCTGGATATCAAAAAAAAAAGAAAAAAAAGAAATGGTGTCTGGGAAAAAAGAGTGTCCTGGATCCTCAGTCAAGTGAGTTAGAGAGAGAAACTCTCAACCTAGTGAGAGAAATTCCCACTTGGTACACACTTGGTTCTTGAGTTTTCTAGTGATTCTTCTTGTGTTTTAGTTTGATTTTTACTTATTATTGGTGAAAATCGAATTAATACATATTGGTTTTGCTTTTGGTCTGCTCTTTATGAGTTTTGGGTTATTTTCAGCTACCATTTTCGTCCCCTACAAAGCTCCAAGTTCGGGTTCTGTTATCGCCAGGTTTGTTCCTTCAGGTTCGGGCTTCTCAGTTTCATTCTGGTTGGGTATTATCTCGTACAAACCTGGTGCTGTAATGGATTGAGTTTCTGCTAGTCATCGTTAGCTTGCTCGGCCTCTCTGGATTTCAGTTTATTTCAGGTTGGTTTTGGAGTTTTAGTGTTCGGCCAGGTCCTTGTTGCCTAGATTTCTGTTTTGCTTGGTTGCTTCAGCTTGGTAGTGGGTGTTCTTCTTGTTGGAAATCTTCAGTTCTGGGTTTATTTCTCTTGGCAACTTCATTGTTGCTGTTCGATTTTTCTGGAGGTTATTATTCCCTTCTTCGAGTTCTATTGCTGGCCGATTTTCTCTAGTGTTCTCCAGTTCTGGCCAGGTGTGTTCCTCCAGTTTTGGGTTTCCTGTTCAGTTTGGTTTTCCATCTGCTCTCCTGGTTTTGTTCTGGCCAGTTTGCTGTGCTATTTTTTGGAGTTTGGTGCTATTTGTCTTAGCTTGCTGGTCGTGTTTCTCATCCAGTTCAGTTTCATGGTCTTGCTTGCTGGACGATTTTGGTCATCCTCCTTCTCTCCAGTTAACCGTGTTCTTGGTGTTCTTCATGGCTATGGTGTGTATGTATTGTGTAAGCAATTTGCATGTCACATTTGATTGTTTTTTTATTTTGGTCAGGCCCTCCTTCTGACTTTCTGCCTCGGTCAGTGCTAATCCCTGTTGTGCAGCTTCTTTCCTCTGTTTTTTTGCCATTTTGGTGTAACATTTTCAGAGGGTTGGAGGCTAACCCATTTCACTTTTGCTTTGGCCGGGTTTGGTGGTTTGTTGGGCGGGTTTGGTGGTTGGTTGGGCCAGCTCTTTGTTGGTTATATTTTGGACTTGCATTGGGCTGTTTCCAATTTTTGCTGGACGGTTGGGCTGTTTCATCTCATTTTATCGTGGGTTGGACCTCATCCCTTTGCTACTTGGGCTGTTTATTTTGTTTTGTTGGGCTCTGTAATTGGACCGGATCAGCTAGTCTACTTCTTGGGCTGGACGATTTTTTCCTGTCGGGCCTTATATTATTGCTGGGGTCTTTCTTTCTGGCCGTTTCATTGGGTTATTGGGCTGTCTGTTTGGATCTATTGTGCTGGGCTGTTTTTCCTAGTTAGTCTCTTGGGCCTTTATGTTCTTTGGGCCTGCTTCTGGCTGGTCTGTATCTATCTTCTTGGGCCTGTTTTTTCAGTAATTGCTATGCCATTTCAGTTCTCTTGTGTTGGGCCTTTCTAGACGGTTTTGTTGTGCCCTTAGTTTTACTTTGTTTGGGCTTTTATTCTGATAATTTCTTTTGGGCCGTGATTGTATTGTTTGGTTTCGTTGGGCCTGTATTTGTTTAGTGGTGCTGGGCTTCTCTTTGGGCCTTCACTTCTGGACATTTGGTTGGGTATTTATTCCCCTGGATTTCCTCTTTGCTGGACGGTTTTTCCTTGGCCCACTCCATTCTCTTGTGGACCAGTAGTGGGCTATTGTTGCTGGACTTCTTTGGTTTTTTTTGGTGCTGGACCGTATCCTCACCCACTTTTCCTTTTGGCTGGGTGATTCTTTATTGCGGGTTGCTGGGAATTATTTTCTGCCTTTGGTTATTCTTTGCCTTTGGGCCTGATCCCCCTCTTTTGGTCGGGTTTTGGTTTCTTGATTGCTGGTTTCTTTGTTTAACCTCTGCTGGTCCAACTGGGGACCCAATTTGACGTCAAATTCCATTTGGCTGGGTGATTATTTCTGTCGGTTTGCTAGGAACAATTTTTCTGCCTTTGGTTATTTGTTTTCTTGGCCATGTGTTCTACTATGGGAAAGAAGAAAATAAAATCTGGGTCGGTCCCTTTCGTTACTCAATCTGGTCAGCAGAATATTAATGAAGTATGTGATGCTTCTATTTCGAGTCTTGAGGCGGGGGAGCATAACGTCATTAATGTGCCTTCACCGAGTGTCTCCTTAACGCTTGGTGACGAAGACACTGCTTCTGAACATTCTGATTTGCACTTGAATAATGCTGAATTATTGAATAAAAATGCTGGAAATGAGAAGGGTGTTGAAGGAGGTATCGAGAAAAAAACCCCATGGGTTAACCTTTTCAAGGATAACCGTAAAATTGAGGAAAATATCAAGTTGAAAACTTTTCATAATCAATAGAAGGAGGTTGTGTTGGGGGAATGTGATGAAAATGAGATTGAAAACTCATGGGGATATGGTTTGGTTGGATACTTTGCCGATAGGTTTCCGGGGGAAGTCGCGTTACTCAAACTATGTGATTCTTAGAAGGTGAACTATAAATATTACGTTCACGCTAGTGGTTGGTTGGTATTCAAGTTTGATACCGATTGTGAAAGATTAAGTGTGTCACATGGTGTCCCATACTTAGTCTACGGGAGACCGCTCATGCTTAAAATGATGCCGCGCTATTTTGATTTCGACGACAAAGATGTTAGTACAATGCGGGTGTGGATTAATTTGCCGAGTCTTCCCTTGGAATTTTGGAATGCTAATGCATTGAGTAAGATTGTCCCTATGGTTGGGAAACCAATCTCAATGGACAAAGTGACTGCTACTAGGGGTCGTATCTCCTTTGCGAGAGCACTTGTGGAAGTTGATGCCTCCACTGATCTTGTTCGGGAGGTAAATGTTAGACTCCCCAATGGCAAGTTGAGGGAGCAAGAAATTGTATTCGAACATGAACCAAAGTTTTGTGGTTCTTGTAAGGTGTTTGGTCACTCGACCAAGGGGTGCAACAACAAAAATTCTGAAGGGGAGAAATGTAAAGGAAAGGTTGTTGTTTCCTATCTAAGGAAGGTTGGAAACGATGGAAAATTTGTCCCACTTGCTCAAAAACCAGTTGATAAGGCTGCAGGTATGTTGCAACAAATTGAGGAACATAATGATTTGGCTAGGGATGGCGAAAATGACCGGCAACTTGGTCGAAAATTTGGAAAAAATTCTGGACAGCACGTGGACCGAAATTCTGGGCAGATTGTTGAGCAGAATATGGACGTCCAGCTGGGGGGTAATTCTACCCATGTTGAAGTGCCGTTGGAGAAGGTTGTGAGTAAGAAAAATAGGGGCGTTGGGGGAAAGAAATCTGCTCATATTGAGCCCGGCAAATCTGGAAACGAGGGACCTTCCAACACCATTGAAGCAGGTTCTACTCAAGCTGTAAATGCTAAGCTTAAAGGCAAAGTAGATGAGAAAAAGAAGTTGGGGCTTGAGAAGAAGGGAATTTCCCTCGCTTCTTCTTCATGAAGATCGCTTCGTAGAACATTAGGGGCATGAATCTACCTCTTAAACAATATGGGATTTGGGAGTTTATAAAGCTTCGTAGCATTGACATTATGGCAATTTTGGAAACAAAGTTGGAGGACCGGAAGTTGATGAGGATTATGCGGAACAAATTCGTTGGTTTCAAGCAAGTTAATAATTTTTGTACACATCAAGCCGGAAGGATCTTAATTTAGTGGAATCCATCCAAAGTTCTTTTGGATGTGATGAAGGTTCATTCACAAATTATTCATGTTAAAGCTACTTGCAAGGTAACATCTTATGCTTCTCTTGTAAGTTTTGTTTATGGTTTTCACACTATGGTTAGCCGAAGGCCTCTTTGGAATACCATTATGGAGATAAATGAAAATGTATCGTTACCTTCGTTGATTATGGGTGACTACAATAATGTGCTTAAGTTTGATGAGAAATGCAACGGGGCTGATGTTACCCCATATGAAATTAAAGACCTTGCAACCTGTTGCCTTAATGTGGGCCTCTCGGATGTGCGTTCCATTGGTTGTTTCTACACATGGACTAATGGCTCGGTTTGGAGCAAAATCGATAGGTCTATGGTTAATGATGTTTGGATACAAAATGGGGCTTTTGTTGAAGCAAATTTCCTACCATCCGGATGTCTTTCCGACCATTCCCCTTGCATTGTCTCTATACATGACCGTTTGGGAAGAGTAAAAACCCCTTTCAAGTTCTTTAACATGTGGGTTAAGCATGTAGATTTCAATGATTTGATAAGGGGCTGCTGGAATTATTATTTGCGGGGGACAAAACAATTCATCCTTTGCAAGAAATTGTGCAAATTGAAAGGGGCTTTGAAGGAGCTTAATTCCAAGCATTTTGGGCATATTTCGGGTAGAGTAATTGAGGCCAAAAATGAGTTGAAATATGCTCAATTACAGCTTCATAATCAGCCCACAATGCTGATTTTCAGAACAATTCATCCTTTGCAAGAAATTTATGGACATTGATTCGCCCGGGTATGTCCGGTGTACTTGTATTTGATTATGGACATTGTCTCGCCCGGTATGTCCGGTGTATTTGTACATGGTACATTTTTTATCAATATATTTACATTTACCGATAAAAAAAGAAAAGAAAAAAAGAAATGGTGTCTGGGATCAATTACAGTATTCCGTAGGCAAAAGGAAAATAATTGGAACGTATATTATTAAAACTTGGTGGTAGGGAAGGGTGAATGAATACATATTTAGTTCTGCGAAGTATCTCATTCAAAAAATAGGATGAATCACCAATAGAGAATTCTCCATCCGTTCAATATAAAATATATTTATGCAAACTAAAGAATATGAATTGAATCTTCAAAACAATCTGACCAAACTATGCACCTGCATTAATGATCTTTGAACGTGTGGCAAGAGAATCAAATTTACAGAGGACATTATTAGATTCTCTAGCTAACCTGATACTTGGAAATAGATTAGCTCTCTTTAGAATTAGCTAGCGTCCTTTTAAGTACCTCGTTCTCATTCTGAAGTTTCATTATCTTTCGCTTCAGTGTCTCTACGTGTTGATTTGAAGTTGAGTCTCGTTGATGTTCAGCCAGCTTTGTTCTGCTCATAAACACTGCAGTGCCCAAATGAGACATCAGTGATCAGATGGATCCTCTATAATCTGGAGTAGATTTATGGAATGAATTTTCTAAGTTTCTAACTTTCATTTTGAGAGAATGTTTTAAACTAGAAACCAAGAAATCTTCCAGTGACTAGGACGAAATACAAAGATCACCAGTTGTTAAAATAATAGGCATTAGCATTTAGCACTCACATTCTTCTTCCAAATCCTGAAGCTTCTTGTGCAATTAATTTTTCTCTTATTGCTCAATCAGCAACAAATCCTTCAAACCTTGAATCTCTTTGTGGTCTGTCATAGAACAATTAGCAGAACACTCAGAACTTAGAACAGAAGAAATTGACAATTTGAACTTATTAAGCTTGCTTAGGACCTCACATCTGGATTCTACTTTGGAACAAACTTGCTCCAATCTTCTTGTCAGCACATCTATATGGTTCTTGCGTACAGCTAAATCTTGGTGGAGCAGATTTGTAGTTGCTTCATTCGACACCTTTTGCATTTGGAAACCTCTGTTTTTATGCCAACATTGAATCTCAGTACAAAATTCCTAGTCCTCCAACTATTATCCTATTTCTGTTTACCGAATGGCAACTCACCTTATCTGAGATTCCAAGTCTGCAATCTTTGTCATGCGATCTTGTTTAAGCCATTCAGCTGCATTCTTAGCCCCAGTTTGGCCCCCATTAAAACTCATTAATTCCCATTATTTGCCAATTTTTCAAACAAAAGCGAGCCCCATGTGTCAACTTTTTTAGAACGTACGTGTACCATGAAAGAGAAAGGTTTTCATTAATGATGAAGGGTACACTTCACTTTATATGCCTAAATGATGTTAATGCCCTCCCAACCACTAACCAATGGAAATGTAAATAAGGGTGATTGAATGAGGGGTAATTTTATTTTCTGTCATTGATGTTGAAGGGTGTTTTTGTCCAACTATCTCAACAGTCCATTTGACTGAAATTAACTTCTGCCAATGGATGAGAAAAGTGGTTGACATGGGCCCCACTTTTGTCGAAAAATGAGGGTTGAAAAATGGCAGAAAAAATATTTTAATGAGTTTTAGAAGGGGCCAAACGGAGGCTTATATTCCTGATTACACATCTAAACTGTCAAAGTCTAATGAAGATTGTACAATGCAAGAATGGTTAATACGGCATTTACCAATACTACTAAATGATTATATAATATACAAAAATGATCATCCAGAAACGTTCTCTTTTTCACATTTCAATTGCCAAAGGAATAATCTACTATTTATGTTACACCATACATGTAATTAGTTATAGTAATAGTTATATAAATTACGGTGCAGAGACTCCAGGGGATGACACTCCCAACTCCCAAGGTCCGTCCCATTTTTGCATACTCAAAAAGATTGCACGGATACATAATTTTTAATCGAAAATAGAACCAAAAACTCACAATTTCCTTTTGGGAAAGTTCATCTGTCACTCTCTTGAATCCTCTTTCAAGCTTCCATAATTGGTCCTAGTTCAATCTGTTATCTCATTTCAATATATAAATCAACCAATTTGAAAACGTAAAATCATAATTTATCACTTTCATATATTAAATAGAGATAAAAACATAAATTTAAAAGAAAATGACAAATGAGAAGCAAATTTGTGAAGCGATTTCGTGTATCACTCTGTTAGACGCTCATTCTCAGCCACAAATTTAAATTGAGTAAAAAAAGATTCTAAAAAAAACTACCATTTTCTTCTAAAATGACAGTAATTTTGTAACAATTTCCGAACAAGAGAATTAAATTACTAATTTGAACCTGAATGAAGAAAGTGGACAGTCGATTCTAGGGTTTCCCGCTTCTTGATTTCGATATTGCAGGTGGATTTCAGGGACGGGATCTCCGTGATTCCTGCTTTAAATTTCTGATTAATTCATGTTATAAATGAAAACTATGGAAGGATTACAATCAAATTAAGTGTGCATTTATGCTCGGGTGAGTTCAGTACATAATGGATTTGATCAAAGGAGTGTCATGATGAAGAGGCAGCACCTCAATGGAAGAAGTGGGGGAAAGAATGAAGTAGTGAAGTGGGGAAGAATGAAGAAGAAAACCAATAGTAACTATATTTCAAATGGGAATAGAGTGGGTCTACACCTGGCAATTAAGTATTATTTTTGTCAATTACTTTTTTGTATTTGCATATGTTTTTTTCTTTTCTTTTTTTCTTTTTTTTTTATTGCAATAGCACATATATAGAGACCAGACGAGTGAGGCAGGGAGAGTTTGGATGTAAAACCAATTTAGTTATTCTTTTTCCTCTTCTGAATTTCACTCTGCTATTCTTCTTCTTCTTCTATTCTTCTTCTTCTACTACTTAATTTCTTCTTGCCCATTTTTCAATTTGTGATTATTTTTGAAATTGAGTTTGAGTTGCAACTTCCTTGGACCGTGGCCTTCAATTTGGAACTGATTTTGAGTGAGTTCATCATTAGCTCGAGCTTCACTCATTCCATTTGGTATCATAGCACTTAGTTCCTGGATAGGGATGGAGACTAGACAGAAAACTACAGACGAAAATCTAAAGAAGCTTGATAAGGAATTAGGTGAGTTGGGTGCTGCTGTTGCTTCTCTCACTGGTAAGGTTGATTCCAAGTTTGATAATATTGATCGATATTATGCATCAAATGAATGAGAAACATGAGGCTATTGTTGCTCCACTGGCTAAAATAATTGCATCTCAAGAGAAACAAGTAGAAGGATCCAATAGTAGATCGAATTTTGATGGTGGAGTGTTAAATGTGAAGTCTGGTAAGGAAGATAGATCAGGAGAGGGTACTTTTGATGTTAGAATGAACACCAAAATCCCCAAAATCGATTTTTCCCAATTTGAGGGAGATAACCCAAGTGAGTGGGTGAGAAAAGCCAATAAGTATTTCCAAATACATCAGGTGATAGAAGAATTGAAGGTGGGAATTGTAGAAATATATTTGAAAGGAAGGGCTGACATATGTTTCCATGGCTTCCTAGCTAGTAATCCTAATGCTAGTTGGAAACTGTTGACTACGAAAATTTGTAGAAGGTTTGCGGAGGCCACTGGCGATGATGTAGTGGAGACCTTTAGCAAGATCAGACAATATGGTGGTGTAGCTGAATACATGGAGAAATTTGAGGGTTTAAAAGCTCAAGCTATGCAAGCCCTACCCAAACTACCTGAATCCTACTATATTAACATCTTTACCAGTGGAAATTAAATCCATCGTCAAGATGGGCAAACCTAGCACACTAACCCAAGCTTTTGAAATAGCTCAACTCCAAGAGACCACCATCTGTACTATAAATAAGAACTCTAAAATCACTAAGCCATTTACTACATTAAACACCCTTTATACTCCTCAGGAGATGCCTGAACCACACAACCTAACCCCTAAATTATATAGTCAAGTTCAGAAAATTCAACCCCCGCCCTATAAGACCATTTTCCCAACTGATATCCAAACCAAAAGAATCTTGAAGCTTTATTTTAGGTGTGATGAGAAGTATACCCAAGGGCATATTTGCAAGAATAGGATGTTGAACTTTATAGTGGTGGATGAAGAAGATGGGGGTGATGATAGAGAGACATGGGATCCTGGTGGAGAAGAGAATGAGGAGGTTGAGGGGAAAGAAATTATGCAAATCTCAATCAGTGCATTAGTAAGGCATATCAAACACAAACTATAAGGATTCCAGGGAAGATTAAGGGCAAGAGAGTATCTATACTCATTGATAGTGGAAGCATCCACAACTTTATAAATGAGAGATGGTTCATTCGTTAGGATACTTGACAGATAATACCAAACCAATGATGGTGGCTGTGGCAAATGGAGAAAAGCTTGAGAGTAAGGCTGTATACTAGCCAATGGCTTGGCAAATGTAGGGGCTGGAGTTCCAATTCAGACTAAGGTCCCTAAAACTCGGGGGAAGTGACATGGTATTGGGGATGAATTGGCTTAGTCAATTTAGGCCAATAACCTTCGATTTTACCAAGGGATATATTAGATTCATACATGATGGGAAGGAAGTAGAGCTAAGCAGTGAACTTACAGGCGATAGGATTGAAAATGATTAGTGGAGAGCATATGGATAGATGGATGGGGAAGTAGGAATATGGGATCATGGGACAGTTGTATGCCATCACAGATGTGGATTCAATAGAAACCCAGAAGAACTAAAGCCAGTTTTAACTGACTTCCAGGATGTATTTGCTGAACCTAAGGGACTACCTCCAACTCGAAGCCATGATCATTAGGTTAACCTTAAAGAAGGAGCTCAACCCTTCAAACTCAGGCCCTACAGATGTCCCTTTATTCAAAAGACTGAGGTAGAACGATTGGTAAGAGATGATGGAATCGGGAATCATTCAACCTAGTAGCAGTTCTTTTGCATCACCTGTACTGTTGGTCAAGAAAAAAGATGGAACCTGGAGGTTTTGTGTTAACTATAGGCCGCTCAACAGCTTGACTGTGAAGGACAAATACCCTATGCCCTTGATTGATGAATTAATTGATGAACTCTATAGAGCTAAATACTTCTCTAAGATTGATCTTAGAGCGGGATACCATCAGATAAGAGTCAAGCCAGAGGATGTTTATAAACCAATTTTTAAGACTCATCAAGGCCTGTTTGAATTTAAGGTCATGCTTTTTGGGTTGACCAATGCCCTTGTTACATTTCAAAGCCTGATAAACAGTTGAGAAGGTATGTAATATTTTTCTTTGATGATATACTAGTATATAGTGTAGATATGCCCGACCACTGTGAGCATTTGGGAGCTATACTACAACTACTTAGAAAACATCAATTGTATGCTAAGTTGAGCAAATGCTCTTTTGGGCAAAAACAGGTGGAATACTTAGGCCATGTGATTGACCAACAGGGGATATCAGCAGACCCTAAGAAAGTGGATGCAATGCAGTCATGGCCTATGCCAACTAACATCAAATAACTAAGGGGATTTCTTAGCTTGACTAGCTACCATAGGTAGTTAGTAAAAGGGTATAGGACACTAGCCAAGCCCCTGGGATAATTTTGTGTGGTCTGATGTAGCAGAAATAGCATTTAATAATCTTAAGCTAGTTATGAGCTCCACTCCAGTGTTAACTTTACCTAACTTTGAGCAACCTTTTGTTGTGGAAATAGATGCATGTCATGGAGGCATAGGAGCAGTACTAATGTAGGATAGGAAGCCCTTGGCATACATCAACAAGGCTATCAAGCCAAGGAGCTTGGGGATGTCTATATATGAGAAAGAACTCTTGGCTTTAGTCACTACGGTGGTGAAATGGAGGCATTACTTCGAGGGTCACCATTTTATCATTAAAACCAATCATCAGTCCTTGAAGTTCTTGATTGAGCAGAGGATAACCATGCCCTTACGGCAAAAGTGGCTTACTAAATTAATGGGTCTAGATTACGAGATCCGGTACAAAAGAGGGATAGATAACGTGGTAGCAGATGCACGCTCTAGGAGGGTGGAAAGTGATGGAGAATGTACTACTATTACTCACTTAATACCAGCATGGGTAGAAAAGGTGATTTCTAGTTATGAAAGAGATGATTTTGCTGAACAGAAAATCCCAGCCCTGCTTCTTAATGCAACAATGGAGCCTCATTATCATTATAAAAATGGCATTCTTAAGTACAGGGATAAGCTATATATTGGTAGTGGAAGGGATATCAGGATTAAATTAATCTAGACTATACATGACTCACAAGAAGGAGGACATTTCAAAATACAAGCTAGCATATTTAGAGCCAAACAGAATTTTTATTGGCCAGGCATGATACAAGAAATTAGAAGAGAGGTGTTGCAGTGTGACATATGCCAGAAATGTAAAGATGAACACTTGCCATATCTCGGCCTACTACAGCCCCTACCTAAACCTCAGCATTCAAGAGTCATATATCCATGGACTTCTTTGAGGGGCTACCAAAATCTGAAGGGAAGGATGTTACTTTAGTGAGAGTAGACAGATTCACTAAGTATGGCCATTTTCTCACACTTTCTCACCCCTTTATAGCAAAAAAGGTGGCCCAATTGTTCTTGGATCAAATTTATAAACTCCATGGCATGCTTCAGAGTATTATCTCTGATAGGGACAAGATTTTTACTAGCACCTTCTGGCAGGAGTTGTTTAAGCTCATGGAAATTATTTTACAACTCAGTTCAGCTTACATCCACAAACAAATGGCCAAACTGAAAAGTTGAATCAGTGCCTTGAGCTATATCTCATATGCATGACACACCACAAACCTAAGGCATGGGCTAAATGGATACCTTTGGCTAAATGGTGGTACAATACCACTTACCATTCAGCCATTAAGCGAACACCCTTTAAGGCACTATATGGGATTCCACCACCCCAGTTAGCTATGGGACCTTATCAACAAATAAGTGTTGCTATGGTGGAAGACATCCTGTAAGAGATGTATAAAATGGATCAGCAATTAAAGGAGAACCTAGTATAAGTAAGAGCCAAAATGAAAGTGTATGCTGATAAAAACAGGACCGAGAGACAATTTGAAGAAGGGGATTGAGTATACTTGAAATTACATCCATATCAGCAGCAGTCCATGGCCAAGAGGATTAATCAGAAGCTGAGTCCTAGATACTATAGCCCTTATCAGATCGAAAAGAAGATTGGAAATGTAGCATAAAACCTGGTACTTCCCAACCAAGCAAAAATTCATCCCATATTTCATGTATCACTATTTAAGCAGAATGTAGGAAGCATAATAGTGGTTGTAGAGCAGTTACTATCTACAGAGGAGGTGGTGAAACAACCAGAAGAAGTGCTTCAAACTAGTATTTTCAAAAAGGGGAATCATATAGGAACTCGGTGGCTAATCAAATGGATTGGACAAACCACATAAGAGGCTACTTGGAAAGATTCACAGGACATACAGAAGAAGTATCCTAGTTTTAAACCTTGGGGACAAGGTTTAGATAAGGAGGAAGGATGTCATGATGAAGAGGCAGCAACTCAGTGGAAGAAGTGGGGAAGAATGAAGAAGAGAACCAACCGAAACTATATTTCAAATGGGAATAGAGTGGGGTCCACACCTGTCAATTAAGTGTTGTTTTTGTCTATTATGTTTCTTGTATTTGAATACTTTTTTTTATTGCAGTAGCATATATATAGAGACCAGACGAGTGAGGCAGGGAGAGTTTGGATGTAAAACCAATTAAATTATTCTATTTCCTCTTCTGAATTTTTCTCTACTATTCTTCTTCTTCTACTACTACTTAATTTCTTCTTGCCCATTTTCCAATTTGTGATTATTTTAGAAATTGAGTTTGAGTTGCAGCTTCCTTGGACCGTGGCCTTCAATTTGGTACTGATTTTGAGTGAGTTCATCATTAACTTGAGCTTCACTCATTACAAGGAGCAAAGCAGTTCCTCCAACGCCTCGTCACTAGTTGCTGCCATCTCAAATGTATAAAAAATGACAAGAGTCAAATTCAAAAAACGAAAATCTCAAAGAGCACGTTTGGTTAATCTTGAGAAAAGCAGTACTTCTCTAAAAAGTCATTAAAGACTTATTTTCTCAACTTAATGGAGGCATATAGTTGAAGAATCTTTAGTAGTGGGATTTGTCATAAAACCTTAATGAAGGAATTACACAATGAATAAAGCTTAGCCCTCTTCGATGGTTATTATTGTGTAGAAATGATGTTTTAAATAGTGATTTTTTTTTGAGAATACGTGATTAAAAAGTGGAAAAATATTTTTAGTTTACATGCAAAATATTTTATTATATGGATGTATAGTTGAAAATCAATATGAGAAATAAATTATTTTACTTTAAAAGGAGTCAAATAGGGACTTAGTAGCATTATATTTAGAAGTCGTGGATCCCACCACTTCATTGTCCAATGAATGAGTAATGCTATTCATTATTACTTGTGTTAATCCCTTAAACCATTTCCAATGAAGTTGTCATACATTTAATGTACTGAAACAACGAATGAGGGTCCACTATCAATGATGATGAATGCTTTATTCCTAATGAATAGAAGGATGATACAACACTGAAACGGTGGGGTCCATTGCCACACTGGTGCTTCACCCTCCACCAACTTCTCTGCTTCCAATAGTAAACACAAGAGAATAACAGAACTTCACAAAATGTCATAGAAGAAAAGAAAACAATATAAATGAAGGTAAACATGTGTGTTATATTATTGACATCTCCATCCAATTGCAAATCAACAGGGATTGCAACGTGCACAAAACCAGCATGGATCATAGTCTTGCACAAAATCAGCATGGATGTTTGTCAATTTTCCTTGTAAACTTTTATAGAAAAATTGCACAATGTTAGCATAGATTTTAGCCAATTTTCTTTGTATAGCAACCTCATTGTACCTATTTATTGACTTCAAGAATGAATGAAACATACAGCAGAATTATCCATTTTCTTCTTTAACATATATCCTAAAATTTCATACAAGAAAAGAAAAAGGAAATACTAAGGGTTTGTTCTCTTTGTGTTTGAGTTTTTAGTTTTGAATTTCATTTTTAGTTTTGTGTTTTGAGTGTCTGTTTTAAAATTATTGAAAATACGTTCTTTTTGTCATTTTGAAAAATTATTTCTTAAAACATGAAAATTGAAAACACGGTCTTTTTTTTTTTTTTTTCATTCATTTTCTCTTGTCCAGCCAATGAGATTTTCGCCCCTTCCAATACCTTCTTCTTCGACTTCACAAACAGACCACCCCCACCACCTAGACCACCAAATCCCAGCATCACTCAAACCCCCTCACCTCCCCCCAGTGGCGGAGCTACTCTTGGACAGAATTTTGACCCTGGTTCGACAAGGTTATGGGCAAAATTGGGCAAAACAATTGACCCATGGCTGGCAAAATTCGTCAAGTTTTGGGTGAAATTGGGGTTGACCCATGGCTGGACAAGGTGCGCCAGGTGAAGAGTAGTTCAACCCATGTGGTCCGCGACCATGGGTCGGCCAAATGGCGCCGAAATCTGCAACTTTTGGATTCTGTTGCACGGGCTTCGTGACGGGTTTGTTTTTGGGTTTAATTCATATTGTTGAATTTTTGTTTGTGGTAAATTGGGGCCATGGTTGGGATCGGTTTGTGGTGGGCAATCGACCGGTGGTGGTGCGCGACCTTGGATGTCCCCGGAGGTGGAGATTCCGGCAGAAAACGGGTGTGCGACATTTGTTTTTAGGCTGGATCTTTTGCTGCTTCCTAATGATTTGTGATTGGTGGTTGGTTGGAGATTGTAGAGAGTAATGAGGCGAGACTAATGGTGGCTAGATCTGGTGGTTTCGGCAACCGGAAGGCCGTGTTTTGTGACTCCATTTATGAAGGCTGTTTTGGGCGTTTTCTTCACAATTTTTTTCTTTTTGTTTCCGAAAACGCGAAAGAGAACGTGTTTTCACCGTTTTGAAAATTCGAAAATAGAAAACAATCAGAAAACGCCAAAGAGAACAGCCCCTAAGCGATTTCAGTATATATCACCTCATTTTAATGATAATCAATTACATTACAAAATTCTGTTTCTTTTCCAACAAGATGCTCCAGACATTCAACAAGTTCAATTTACCAGTTAATCAAACAAGTGGTACTAGATTCTCACAAGCTTTCAATAAAATTGCTAACCTTAAGATATCATTTTCTCGGAAATATAACATAAGAACTAAACCCAATTCAGCGGCAGTGTTACAATTTCAGTACATGACACGTGTGACTGTTGTTATTGTCTCTCCCAAAGGATTTGCTCATCAATCTTGCTCAGCATCCCGTCATCGAGTCGTTTCCATGTCTTGATCTTCTCTACTCCATTCCATGAATTCACCCCTTTCCCGAGTTCTGCCAAAATGACTCTTGCCCTCCTTGGCCATCCGGCAACACCATAACCATGATATCCAAACCCTCCGCCATAACAAAACCATATGACATCTAGATTTCTGCAGAAGTCATTTAGGTGATCATGACCTATGAACACAGCCTTTACGTCTCCCATGGAGACAAGCGTCTTCAGGACTCCAGAGTTTACGAATGAACATGCTACGTATTCCTGATACGTGCCAATAATATCCAAAAGAGGTCCTTGTTTAATTTCTGTAATGGGAATGTGAAAGAATGTCAATGCAGGGGAGACGGTAAAAAATTTAGAAGTCTCGGCTGATTTTTTGATATCCTGCTTTTGTTCCTGTTAGTTTGTGATCTGCAACATGTTAATAATTCCTGACATGCAAAATGCTGTCTAATATGAGTTAAAATGCATGGGCATGGATAAAAGAGTATACTCTCTGTACACAAAACTTAGGCATTCCTATCAAAACTTATTTTGCAGCATTTCAAGAGGGAGGGAGAGAGAGAAGTCCTAGAAAATGAAATAATGTTGAATAGTAAATATGTACCTTAGTACACAATAACAACAACAAACTTTTCCAACAAAATCAGGCGTATTATTTTTGGTAGGCTCTCCTCTAATATCTTCGACATGGAACACATTGCTCTTGTGAATAAAGACTTTCTTTGGGATCTATGCAAGACATGCCCAACAACCAAATAGTCAATTTATCCTCAATTGTGTCACCGATATCTTTTCTTGTTATATCCACTCTAATGTGGTCGGACATCCATATTACTATCCCCATTTCTATTATATTCATCTTATGGACATGTGGTCCTTGAGCAACCAACACTTAGTACTATAAAGTATAAAACGACTCTTCTGTCGGACTTACATTTACTTGATGCATATTTTTCATATATATAGAATCTATGTAACAAGTCTCCATTTCATCTAATTGTTATAATACCAAACATTACATTCCCTTCAAGTAAACCTTCCTTATTATAGTCAAATAATCACTTTTTAGGATATAGGAATTAAAATTAGATTTTTAATAAATTTTGATGGAAGTTTTTGAAATGCGTGGTTGAAAAGTTGTGGGACCCATGAAAATGTGGTTAATAATGATTATTTGACTTTGATATAAATTAAAGTTTGATTTAAATCAATACCAAACAGAGGCTATGTATTTATTTCTGTCAATCAGTAAATAGTTGAAGATCAATAACCAATCACAACTTGAAAAATGCCTCCCTTATGTTGTGGGTCATAAATATGCTCCACAAGTAGTAGCTTTTAACATGTCAAAGCTAATTGTGTCATAGGTCGCAAGCATGTCCAGTTGCCCACCAATTTGTCTAAATCAAATGGCTTGTCATGTCAATTATCTAAAAAATAGACTGATTAAGTATAAAATAATGTTATTCATCACCGGTCTAGGTGGCATTGGGTTCATTGATTCATTGCCCAATGCATTAAAATGCACAGAAACTCTATTGGACAATAAATTGAGGCACCCACTGCCTCCTAGATTCATGCTGAGCACATCTGGTTATGAATATCATTGCTTTTAAGTTTAACTACTCACCCTGCCCCTGTCATCCCTCCCTCCCCTTTTGCCCCACCATAAACATAATACCTCTTCCAAGGAATTCAACTTGCTAGTGAACTCCCCTTTTTAACAATTCCATTTCAAAAGTTTAAATCATTATGACAAGGATAAAGTTTTGTGGTCATCCTGGGGAACCTTCATCAGCCATTTGCTTCTGATGACACTGAAATAAATTTTGACCTACTTTTTCCCACCAGTATTATGTGAGAATATCGTGTTGCTAACGAGGAATGCATATTAGATTTAAAAAAAATAAAGACTGAAATTAGTACTATAACATTAGAAACTTGGAGAATTAAAGGAAACCTATTTCATGGAGCAGAAAGAGTAAAAACATATCATACGCCTAGTTTAATACAAATGCAACTCCTCCTACTTCTAGCTGTTTACAGAAACCCGATTTTTGAATGAGAATCAGTGTCCAAAAAGAAATAACACTACAATGATCATCCATTTCGATCCAACTAATGATATTCATTATTAGTACATATCATTACCAGTTTAGGTGGCAGTGGACTCCTAATTCATTGTCCAATAGGGTTGTGATGCATTTTAAAGAATTGAACAATAAATTAGGGGGCCCACTGCCATCTAGATAGGTGATGATCACTACTGATAACGAATAGCATTATTCTTTCCATAATTCAATCACAAGACATATTGAAGACGGATTTTATACTTCTTTCTCTTGATAAGGAGGTTTCACACACAGTACTACTCAATTTTCCATGCAATCTATCATTTAACCTCTTCTCCTGATACGCACATTCCAGGCACGAGTTTCCAGCATTAAGAGACTTTGTTGGTAAAAAATTAAGCTACGAACTTCAAACTGATATAAGGACACATGTTCTATTATATATATAAAATATAATACCAGTAAAAGCAACGAAATCAGGGTTCTCGAGCTCAATCATATTTTCAAGAAACCGTGTGGTGTTGAAATCAGAACAGTCTTAGAATTCACCATCCAACACATCTCTGCATCGAGTCACCATGCGATACCCAAAATGCATGTCAGCTACCCACGAAAAAATCACATCTTCTCCCCAATACTCAACCAATAACCAAAAATTCCAACAAACCCACAATTTTATTTCCGTAAAAGAAGAAAATTAAAAGAAATGCATAATCATATATGGCGTAGAATATTATTATACCTGGAGGATTTTGGAAGTTCCATCAGAGTTGAAGGGCAGAGCGAGAGGTGGCAGTTTCTTGACTCCGACATTTTGGTCGTTGAGTGAGAGTTTTTGGGATATTATCAGAATGTGAAGAAGGTGAATAGAAGCAATAATGAGGAACGAGTACAGTAAAGAAAGGATCCATGTTGCACAAAATTCCATTTTCTCAAGATTCTCATCGGTGTACACTTTCTGAAGACTTCAATAGATGCATTTCCTTTTTTTATTATTTTTTACTTTTTGCTCATTTTGTTTCTGGGCCTTTATACTGGGGCAAACTCCAGTGATTTCAACTGGACTGGGTCAGTATCTTGATGTTGGCCCTTTGCCCAAATCAGAGAGGAAAATCTAACGAAATAGCACCAATATGGACAACTTTACTGTTGTGGCATCTCTTTCATTTTGATGACTCTCGTAATTCATAATTTTCATCTGTGGTTATTACTTATTCATCATTCATTTGATTTTTTCATATGAATATTTTAGTTAAAATCTCTTTTTATAGAAAAGTGAAAAAAACTACTGATATTCTACATATTGAATATAAATTCATTTATATACTTGCACTTGTATATAATCACAATTTTTACGTGAAAAAGGAAAGAGATGTTATTCAACATGTATATGTTCTAGACTAGATCAAATTTCTTCATATTGCGTATTTTCTAGTTGATAAATTTAGTTGATCTTCGTACACTTTTATTGATCAAGACTTGAATTCTTTTATGTTGCACATTCTCAAATGATAAATATTGCTCGACTTCCGTTACCTCTTCTCTATTGAGGGACAATTTACTTTGTACAACATACTTTAAAAAATGACTCGTTTTGATTAAAGCGTCCAAATAAACTATGGATAAGTCTTGATGTAAATAAAATATGTATATAGGGGTGTCCACAATCCTCATATGGGATGGGATTAGCGCGAGGTGGGTCCCACCTCATGTGAAGAGTGTGGACACCCATATGTACCCAAATTATATACACCAAACACAACCCATAAATTATATATTTAATACAACTTAACAACATTACTCGATCCTTAATGTTGCACTTGACTCTGGGGCTTCACTTAATGGAGGCTGCATGAAAGACTTGCAGATTGCTTTTATGAGTAGCATGTTCAGGCAAAATTTTAAATTAGTCATTAAAATTTTTCTATGATCTATTTACTATTTAGTTATTTCAGAAGTTATGTTGCATAGTTGGTAATCCCTTTAGCCTTTTTAATTTCATAACTAACGATCACATAAAACAATAATTTGATTGACTCTCATATCATGTTTTTATGAAAGATTTGTCGCTCGATACCATCAAAGTAAAACAACTATCATAACCTAAATCGAGCTTATTTTGCAAATTTTCCCGGCAATAAATAACCCAATTGTTTCCAAAATCTAAAAATCGAAAACAAAAGTGTAAATTAAAGTAGTAGGAGCATTTTACATTTAAGATATAACATTTTTATGCATTATATTGTTTTTATAATTATCATATTTTGTAAAATAAAAATTATAAATCAGGTTGGCTTTAAGAATGGGTGATCTCAAGTATCTGTCTTTTTATTATATTCATTTGGTTGCATAATGGCTAACTAATAAAATACGAAAATACGTTTGTTTATTTTAATGTTATTGCATTATCACCCAATTAATAAACTTTCACGTGGCGTTTTATTTACTTAACGTTGTTATTTCTTAATTAATTTGTCCCGACATTAGTGGCGTATCTGAATTAAGTTCATAGATCTTGATATTATGTCAAGATTTTGATTGATAATTTGATCGACATTTAAAAAAACTATTGGTGGTTTAGGATAGCTAATAAAAAATATTGGATTTTTGTCGTTTTAATGTGTGTAATGTAATATAGTGTGTATTTACTGTAAGGATCATGTTAGATGTACATAATTTTTTTTATTTAATGCTTTACATACACTCATAATAGGGGAGTGGGGACCACATGTTGGGATTATTTTATTCACGCGAGGTCCACGTTCTTATGAGAGTAGGTAAATCATTTGGTAAACCAAATTATGTACACTTAGAATTATCCTTCCTGTAATGTGTTATTTTAATAATGTCTTATTATTAAAGTATTTAAAATTTTGCATTGTTAATACTACCAAAATAATGCATTATATTAAGTTGCTCTACGATAGTTATCTAGTTGTGTTAAATTGAAATATCACTCAATCGAAGTCTAGCTCGACTATCCCATGAGCTCGTCCCCTTGGTTTGACAAGCCGATCCGGCTCAAGAGCTGGTCACTGCTTGTAAATTTTATTTTATTATTATTGTTTTATTGAAGTCGCATTTTTCACTCACAGTCTGCTTGTTAACCAACTATGCTCGACGACACAACTCATCAATTTTTATTAAAAGTTTTGTCACACAATCCTTTAACATGGAGTGTATTGTTGGAGAGGAAATCAACGTTTTGAATTAGTCCCGTGTGAATGCCAGTAACATGTAAAATTGAACGATTGCATGTGAGATCTAGTCAAGATTTATACACTAAGGATCCGTTTGATTACAAAAATGAAATTTGGGTAAAAAGAAAACAAGTTGAAGGAAATTGAATTGCCTAGAATTTTTTTTATTTTTATTTTTTTGGTGGGAATTGCTAATTAATAGTGTTTGATTGGTATAATTTTTCACTTGAAAAATGTTAAAATAAACGTGTCTTTTGGTGTTCGTTTGACTTTGCTTTTCATGAAAATTGTCAATTTAAGGGATATCATCTTTTGCAATTGTTCATAGAATTTGTTCCGATTGTCAAAAATAAAAAATAAAAAATAAAAACAAAACCAACAGTGAGAATTGATTTTCCACCAAATCATGGAAAATGCAAGTGTGTGGGGGTAAAGATGGAAAACGAATTCTATGAAAAAATTTTGCTATAAAAGACATAAAATTTGTGAAAAATGGAATTCGATTTCCATTTTCCATGGAAATAGTGCCAATCAAACATGACCTAATATAAGTATAGTTGAAATAGTTAAACCTTGTCCTATTTAGCCCCGTCCGTCTATCATCATTAAAGGAAAATACATTTTGAAATAGTGAAAATTTACAAAATGTGCAGTTAAAAAGTTAAAAAAAAAAAAAAAAGGGATTTTCCGTTTAAGTGCAAAATATTTTATCGTGAGATTGTATGATAAAATGAGTTTGAAAAAAAAAATTTTGAAATAATATTAGACAAATAGGGACTTGGATTTGATTCTAACCGAAGACTAATTGGATTCCAAGATATAGTTAGTTTGAGCATAAATCGACTTCTTACACGAGGCTTAAGCTGGATGGATGGTATTTCCTAGAATTTATAGTTCTATTTTTATTTATTTTTTAAATCATCTCGCATTTTATACATGAATTATTGCTGTCACGTGCACATTATGTCTCCATTTAGCAAAACCCCTTCTTTTAATACCGGAGGACAAAATTGTCAAAACGTCATAATAATAAATAAAATTGGAAGAGCCAATATAGACATGATGTGACGTGACGAGTTGAAACGCGAACATCAAAACCAGCAATTATTTCGGCCGGGAGAATATGAATTTAATATTAATACGATTGAGACATTATTCACACGTGATCAGAAAGTTATGAGAAAATTATTTGAAATGACCACTTTTACATGTCCATTTGTAAAAATGTGTAATTTTACAAATTCTTGTAAAAATGTCTATTTTGAAATATTTTGGACCGAAATACCCTCGCGCGAATAATTTATGATTCCACACAAAGACAAGAAATAGACATTTTTGTAAAAATTTTATTGGCCAATAAATTTTTGACACATAACCTGTCATATTTTATTTCAAAAGTGCACATGTCAAATCATAATTAATGTTATTTTTCTCATTGACACAGAAACATCGAGAATTACATTTCAAGTGTAGAGAAATATCATGTTCGGAATGAAATGTCATTTTAGATATTTAAAATGTCGAGAACAACGTTTGAAATATCGAGAATATTTAATATTGTGATTTGATATGTGTACTTTTAAAATATGAATGAGATTTAATTATCGAGAATGACATTTGAAATGTTGATAACAACATTTTAATATAGATTTTCATGGAAGCTACTTCTCGAAATCTGCAACAAATTGAAAAAGTAAATAAATTGTTTCTTTTTTCATTAAGGGCATAATAAACAGTTTAGTGCTAAATTTAAAAAAATTGACATTTTTCAATTGACACTCATGAAATTAGACATTTTTAAAAATACCTCTAAAGTAATTATGTAGATTTTTTTAGGCTAAATACAATTTGCGGTAACCATAATTTCACTCTATTTTAATCAAGTAATTTATTTAAATTTTGTACATTTGAATAATTGAACTTTAAATAGATCTAAATATTGTAACTCTTTCTAATTTCGTCATTTGAAATATCAAAAATTGTTGACATAACAGTCAATAAATGAAGCCTGTCATTTATTTCACTAAAGTTGTATTTATTATATATAATAAACATGTGATATTTATCAACTCACTTCACATTTTGTATGAAATTTGTACTTTTTGGACTTGTTAACTAGGTTGAAATAGGTACGAGTCTTGTTGGTTCAATCTCTCACTTTATACTTTGATCAATGTTTTCAAGATTCCATATATTTGAATGTTTTTATCTTTTATTTTTGTTGAACGGTGATGTAACACAATATAAGGACAATTTCCATACCCAATCTCTCTAACTCTTAATCGCACAAACAAAGTTGAAAATGCGAAATTTGTGGCTCCAATTACAGTGCAAATTGCTTGAGTCACATGAATACATAAATTGCACGAACAATGGCATTTCTTACATGTTGTGTATAAGAAATTGTTAAAAATTTACAGTCAAAATCAACAATTAGTTTAATCACATATTTCATGAAATTTATAACTTTTTAATCACACATTTAATTTTGTTTTAATCAAAATCTCCAAAAAAATATGATTTTAACCTATCTCAAATTGGGATTAACAAATAAGAAAAAATGTCCCCATCAATTTCAATTGAGATATTCAGCGTCTTTATAGGGCCCTGTGGACCACTCGTTAGTGCAAATGGACGGCCACGATCACCGGCCAAGATTACATATATTATAATAATTTCAAAAATAGCACATGGCTTTAAACATTTCCTTTATAAAGCCTACACATGGCAACAATGCAATTTACAAAAACTCTCACTCTCCCTTCATAAGCACCCATACTCTCTCCCTCTCTAAAGCTCCAAAAAAAAAAAAAAAAAAAAAAAAAAAAAAAAAAAAAAAGCCACACACACACACAATGGAAAACATTGGTGATGAATATACAAATTACTGGGAAACCAATATGTTTCTCCGAACCGAAGAACTTGAAAGGTACTTTCTTCTTTCTCATTCTTATTTCCATGTTTCAGTACGTGTTTGTGTTTACTTAGATTATAGTGCGATCGAATAGATTGATGTAGTTATTTCATGAATTACTTTTCTCTCTCTCTTTCTTGAGTTCACTTTCAGGTTTATTTATGATAATTAGACACTAACGTGATCGACTATATGGTCGCAGTTTTTTCGATGAAGCATTATCTGCCCACTATGATTCGAGCTCACCTGATGGAACAAATTCATCGATGACGTCAAAAAACATTGTTTCAGAAAGGAATAGGAGAAAAATGCTCAATGAAAGGCTCTATGCATTGAGATCAGTGGTCCCCAATATTACAAAGGTGACCCAATAATAAAAATATTTATATATGTTGAATTATTGTCCCTGACACCCCCAGCAATTGCAATAAGTTATATTTTATAATAAAAGTGCTAAAAAAATTTCCTTCTTTTTGGGTGAATTGCTGATTTGAATTTAGATGGATAAAGCATCAATAATTAGAGATGCCATTCAATATATTGAAAAGCTGGAGAAAGAAAAGGAGAGCATTCAATTAGAAATTTCAGAGCTGAAATCTGGTACATCAGGAAATAGTACAATGTTTGATATTGATCAAGAAGTCACCACTTTTTGTTCAAATCCAAAGAGAACAAGACTGGATCATGCTTGTCATTCTGAAACATCAAGATCATTTCCCATTGAAGTTCTAGAGGTGAGTTCTTCATAATACCTATCTCACTCTGCATCGAACGCTTGATTGATGTAGTCGACAATAAGTGGATAAAATTTTCATTTTTTTGTTCAGTATAAAATTCACTAAATAAACCAGTAGGGCATGTTTGGTAACAATACAATTGAATTGACAAGATTTTAGATTCTTTTAATATCATCCTTCTTACCTAATAAACATGTTATTGTTTAATCATAGATAATTGATTAATCAAGTTATTAATTATTTTTTTGTGAAATTGATTAATAATGGGCAGTTGAGGGTATCTCACATGGGGGGAAAGACAGTTGTGATTAGCCTTACGTGCAGCAATAGAACATACACAATTGTAAAGCTATGTGAGATTTTTGAATCTTTGAAGCTCAAAATCATCACTGCCAACATCACTGTTTTCTCTCAAAATCTTTTGAAGACGGTATTTGTTGAGGTAATATTCTCTTCCTACTCTATTTTGTACACATGCGTCGACACTTCGTAATTATAACAATATATTTTGTAAGGTGAATCCTCCGTATTGATTGTACAATCTACCAAACCTCTTGTATGTGTGTCTTCTTGTTGTAGTACATTGAGCTCACGTCACTTTGCACATCATATGTTCTCTCTATTCTAGTACATATGTCATTTTGCATATCTTATAATCTTGTATCTATCACGTTGTTGTCAAATCTTATCTTACATGTCTCGTAATCAGTTTTGCTGTAGGATGTATTTAATCTTGTCTTGCACGTGCGAACCATAAAAAGACGTAGTATCATAATTTAAGTTAATTACTTAGCCCCTGTTTGGCCTCCATTTTTCAAAACTCATTTTCAACCACATATTTTCTAGAATTCATCACTTTTATCAACTTTTCAATCAAATGTTTCGTCGACTTTTATTAACATCTACTAAAAGTTTAATTTTTGTAGGGGCAAACAGGAACTTTCTTTAATTCAACTCAAGAACTTTGTAACTAAATAAGAGAATTAAAATAGTGAATAATTATTTAATTTAAGAATACAAAATCGATGCTCAAATTAGATTTGGTGGACTGCCTAACCCAATTTCCCCCATCTTCTTGGACACGGTCTTGGTATATAAGTCAAAGAATAGGACCTAACCACTATCAACATTGAAGATTATAAATATTGACATTTGAAGAAAATAATAATTATTTTGTTAGAAAACATCGAAGTTACATAACGTTGCCTACATAAATCCAAGAAAAAACTTTGACCCCCCCCCCCCCCCCCTCTTTTTTTTT